ACCTCTTCAAGACGTTCCTATTTCAATTCTGCCGCCCCCCGCGCCGCTCAGCGAAGGCCATAACTGGAAGACATTGCGCCTTCCGGATCATTGTATGCGTGCTCCTGTTCAGTCATGTGACGACAGCAAACTGAACCAGTTGACCCCCTTCCGACGCATTCTTCTTTTTTTGACTTTTTTTTTGCGATCACAATAGCCGCCATCACGCGAGTGAGATAGCACGAACGAAATGGATGGAAAAATCAGAGCGAATGAATATCCTAGACTTGGGCTTAATTCTGCTTACAATTGACTATTGGAACTAAAATGAGTATTGGCCTGGACAGGAAATTCCCCCTGACTAACAGATAAAGGCGCAGAAAGCGTTAGTTGGGGATTGCATGTGACACATTTTAAACATCTCTGCTGCGAAAGCAGTGTGGATGAACGCGTTGGTGTTGCTTGATCAATGTCTCTTGATTATGCATATGGACATCACCCTTGCTATTGCCTGTAAAATTTGTTGTAGCATTCTGTTTGTCAGCTGAACTGGCCTCATTTTCCTGCTCAGTGTTAAGTAAATGGCCAGAGAAAAACGGACAGGAATCTTCGAGTGAGGGTTTGGCCGTCTCCCGATGATGACATAATTTTCCTCTCTGGGAGGAGGCAATCGAACGGATACGGTTTTTTTCCCGATCATTACTGAATCGTAGATAGGCATATTGAGGGTTGCACTCGAACAGCTGGACTCTATAAAACATATGGTATCGGGTAAGCATGACCTTGACAATCAACCAATAAAACTAAAGCTGACTAGTGGGCATATCCCGTGATTACCGCCAAGCTGCCAGCAGGCCAAGGGTAGCGCTGCTGTTGGATTTCCGTGTTCAGACCCTAACCCTAAAGCCCCCCTCTATTACGGGCGGTGCCTATTCTCGTGTCCTGCCGACAACTCGGCCGTGGAGGAACTCATGGTTTTTAAGCAAGTATTGAATATCATGGTATGTTGACCTTTAAGTGCAAACTCGGTGAAATGGGATTAAAATAGTAGCTCACCAGCCCACGTACTTTAAAACTAGCTTTAAAGCTGAATTCCGTTTTCAACTCCATGTGCTCTCTTTATTCATTTTCAGATCACTTGACAGTGCTCTTAGTCTTTACTTCGACTTCATTCTTCTTTTTGGTAACGCGTTACAATTCACGCTACATAGACTGAACATTCAGATAGCTGGAGGCATTGTCCACAACATTAAGTCTTGCTAATCATTTTCCCTCAACGCGTGTTTCTCGTTCTCACTGACTTCTCGCTTTACCGTTTTAGAAATCGCTCAAGGAAAAGTCTTTCATTTTTGAGGTAAGCCACTAGTTTCGGCTATCCTGCTACCGATCTCACCTCCACTTCAAGGGCTGGATCATTCCGGTTTGTTAATCTGTGCCGTAATCTGTCTGGTTTTTCTTTTTTTCGTCCAACAGCTTCTGTCTAATTCCACAAATGGCATGGACGTCGACAAGTGGGACTACATCCTGCGGGACTCTTTTTATCTTGGTTGGGGTCCGGGCTGCAGTACTCTGGAGCTAGAGCGCTTCCTCTGGTTCTACCGCCTTGTCTTCCATCCATCAGACGCATCAACTGACTGTGGAGGGAAGGAGATGTCTGGTGGTTGGCACATGTCCTTCCGAGACAGCGAGATTGAGAACGTAATGCGCACCTTCAGTCAGCGATTACACCTCCATCGTCAAGTCTACACGCACAAGACGTCTAAAGCCGTTGCTGTGAGTCTCCAGACACATTAACTTCATCTGCTCCCCCCCCCTCCCCCAGCAACATATTAGTTGTCGCTTTTGGCCGCTTTCACGTTTCAAGCATAATCTTCGCCTCTCTAGATTTATAGGCCCCATAATCAGTAAACAGTGTAGTGAACGCCGGCCTAGTCCCCTTAATTAGATACCTAAAACTTCCAATTGACCCAATTGTGGAAAATGTGCGGCCTTCGTGGGAGTCGATCCCACACAGCAGGGAAGGCTTTTGCACAGCCAACGCTCTACCATTGAGCTGCGAGGCTCACCGTGAGCTGTGAATTTGATTATACTTGGGTCATAGATTGAGAAGAAGTAGTTTCGATCACCAGAATCGTAGTTTTATTTGTCTGAGCTTTCGAGCTCTTGCGGGAGTCCATCGTCAGAGATAAAACCGTCAACGAAAGCAAGCAACATTTATGGGGGGTAGGGACCAATTAACCGTCAACGAAAGCAAGCAAAATATATAGGGGCGGAAGGGGGGAGCAATTAACCGTCAACGAAAGCAAGCAACATTTATAGAGGGAAGGGGTCAATTAACCGTCATAGGGGAGGGAGGGACAGGACCACCGGTGCCGTGAGTCTAGAGATACCTACGCAGGGCAACATATGCGGGCGCCAGCTGGACGCATCGGTCAATTTTACCCGTCCAAAGCTCGACCTTCTCGACCATACGAAGGGGCAGACTGAAGTTGAAATGCCGCTAAACTCCAACTGAGGGCGCTGACAGTGTTAGAAGGCCACGCACCTCTGCTTTCCTCCGCCAATCTCTCTAAGCGTCAAAGCCATCGAATATTTGGACTACCATGATCTCGTTGATAACTTTAGTAAAAATGGAGATTCTACTTCATCAAATACATCAGATTTGCTACCCCATAGAATGTTAACTGAAATTCTGAAGGGTGTTTTCGGGTAGAAGAGCTTACTTGAGTAGGGCCGTAGTATATATCATCGTACAGCATAATCCTAAGATACCTAAATCACGTTAGGCTGTCAGCCATTGGACGGGCGCACTTATCAGTCTCCCGCAAAGACTGTGGCGGACGGCGAGCAATGCTGTCCGGCTTCCCCATTCAATGCTCACTGTATCAAGGTCATGCAACTTCGCAGGCAGATGTTTCCGACTCGCTGACCCACAGACCCCTAACCGCCTTCCACTCGCGCACACACGTGCGTGCAAATGGTCGCGGCTGCCGAAGGGCAACTTAAACACGCCACCACTCGGCTGATGCAGCAGGGGCTACCTTACATGACACCCCCTCGGGCAATGCAACACATCAATTGGACACCATTTAAACTCGCTCCACAATCATAAAAAGCGGCTGCCATCACTGTTTCAGGCATGCCTGGACGCAGTCAACACTAGCCATGGCTTTGCCAGTGACCACTGCTACCGGAGACAGAAACTGCGGGTCCTGTGCACAATAAATTCCTCATTTTGGTGTCTTCTACCTTTTCTATATAATCTGAGCTTTCCATCTGATGATTGTAGTGCTCAGAGCACACATACTGCTAAGACGCCACAAGACAGCGCTCTGTAAAATCGAATAGTTACGTAGCATGCATCTTCCCATTGATGTTCGATGCCCTTTTATAATCAAGTGCTTTTTACAAAAAAATACACACATTTAATAGAAAAAATTATATTGTCAAGTTCTATACTTTACGAAGGGGCATCTTTGGGTTTAATAAATTTATTTTTCAAGTCTGACTAATGTTTACCCCCACCCGCTGTTGCACCTGTATTCAGGATTTAAGAACGGCAAGCTGTACATTTTCCGTCTAAAAAAAATCATACCTTCATGTACGTTGTTAGGAAGACGATCTATAGGACTACACATTTAACAGTTCATGTACAGTTTATGTGCATTAACAAATGGACAAATAAGATGCTTTACGAATGGCCATTTCACGATTTACAAATCTCATAATTACAAAATTAGTAAAAGGAGGAATAGTTTTAGGCATGTTTTTCGGAAAGCATGTTTGAATTGATAAAGAAACAAACGACAAAAAGCTAGGCTACTTAAGTAGTCGTCTTTTACAATTTATATTTTTTCCAGGCATCCGCAAATAGTTTGCGAATATGCTGCATGGTTCTAAATAT